TCAACCCATTATTGATCCAAACATACCTTTTATACTATGATGTTGTCGATAAAGATTGTTGCTTCTTTCCCCAACATTATGCTTCTAGGTCTAATTTCCTCAAATTATGTTCCACTTGCAAGATGCAACTCCATCACACCAGCATACATCTTTACTTATAGGTTAGGTAAAGGTGCAAATTTAATTATGAAATATTTTTTCAAGACCATTAGATAGCTTATACTATAAGATGGTGTGAAAAAAATTATCAACCATAGAAAATAGAACATCCATAACCTTCTGTTAATTTTAAAGAAAAGGACATTAGTTGACTAGCTTTTTAACCAAGGCTCCACCTATGTGTGCTGCTTTACTTCTTCCTCCTCCTTCCTTCCACTTTCCTCTTTCTTATTTTTCCCTTTCTACCACCACTTTTCCTTCTTCAACATTATCTAATCATCTTACTAACCTGACGACTCTCTATATTTTCATGTATTTTGAAATGTTTTATTAGTCAATTAAAGAGTCATCTAGTTATTTTTGGTTAATTATCTTTTCTTTAGTATTTATTTTGGTGTTAGTTAGCTTATTTTGTAAATATTGTATTTTAATTTATTCTATAGCAATTTTCATTGTCAATCATAGTCATTTTAGTTTTAGGAACCCTTATTAAAGTTTGGAAGAAGTGAAGGAGGAAAAATATGATGACTTTATAAAGAAATTAGACTTTAATGATCACCCACTTAGCAATCACTACAGTGGGTCAATGTTATAAGGCAAATTTTGGACCAAAAATCGAGCTTGATATAGCGAATTTTACACCAAAATGCACAATTTTTAGTTTTTTTGTCTAATAAAATATTGAAACTAGAGTTTTCAGAGTGGACTTTATTTTTTATGTTCTCTGAAAGTCTACGGGAAATTTTGGAGTGCTTAGGGAGATTTTAAAGCTTAGGAGCAAGATAACTCGTCACCATCCACATTTTCATTGAGTTTTCCTTCACTTTTATCTTGCTTTCTCCTTATATCCAATGTTGTCCTATTATTATGCTATTTTAAGACTGTATTTAGCTATGGGTGGCTAAAAATTGATATTTTAGAGTCTTGTGAACTCATTTGCTTTGATTGTATTTTAATTTACCGATTACTTTCTGATTAATGTTTTATGTTTTAATTCCAGTTTGTCTTTATGTTGCTTGATGATTGGTCACCATTAGGTGATAAATTAAAGAAATAGAATGAAATTAGGAAAGAAATTTCTATTTGGACCATTGAAATTAAATGCTTAAGATTAACTATAGTTAATTTACCTCTAGGATATGAATGTACTTAAAGGACCTAAGTGGTTAGAAGGGATTTGAACTTACTACTCTTAATGTAATTTTGGCAAATAATTGTTGGGTTAGAATTAGAGAGGATTTTGGATAATCGAAAGATATTCAAGATTAATTATAGTGTCTCAACCCTTAAAACTAAGATTAAAATCAAGTTAATCGATGAGTTGAGTGCAATGGAACAAATGAGGAATTAGAATTCTAGGGTGCTTTCCTAATTATTCTCTTGACTTTAAAATACTTCAAAATTTTAGTTGCTCATTTTATATTTTTATTTTTAAATTGAATCATTTAACACTATAATTGGCTTGCTTAACGTAAATGAAATTGAAAATTTAATGCCTATTTGCCAATTTATTTAATCCTTTGTGAAATCGATCTTGATTTGCTATTAGCTATAATAGTGACCCGATCACTTGTAATCTCCATTTGGTTTTTGTGTGCATCAAGTTTTTTGGGGCCGTTGTTGGCAAATTAAAGCAATTGATGATTAGCATTAAAAAACCTTTAGTAGTTCTCAATTAAGCATTTTTTTCTTTTCTTTTTCTTTTCATTTGCTATTTTGCTTAGCTTACTTTGATTTTCTTGTTCAAATTGATTAAGCATTAGTAACTTAAGTTTGGGTCTTGTAAATTTCATGTTCGAGTTATTTTTTTGTGTTGTTATTTCTCTTTTAATTTGTGACTGTGTTCTTTATGTTTGAAAAAAAAAATTGAAAAAATGGATTTTGAGTGGAACTAAAGTGGCTTTAATATTGACAAGGAAATGAATTCCTTGTCTTTAATGCAAGATGTATTGATTGCTTATATGAGCTATTTAAATGAAAGGACGCAATATAATATGCATTTAAATGCTAGTTACACTAAGTGTGTTAATTCTTCTCAATATTATGGCTTTTATTGTGTTTATTGTGGATAAAGTCATTCTTGTGAGCATTGTCACTTTGGCAAAGCCTCTAACTATATAAGGAATGATTTCATTAGGTGAAAAACTTATTTTGATAATTTCTTTAGTCCTAGTTAGAGTCTAGAGAAACACAAGTCTTTTTAAAATCCTCATTTAGATTATCATTCAAATGAAATGACCCACCTCTTTACTCTTTTCCACATGTTGAGGAAAATGCCCGAGAGTATAAGGAAGATTCTTGCTTAGAAAGATTATTTGAGGACCTTATGGATTCATCACATAAACTTACAAATTCACAAGAAGACTTTGTCACTAATGTTGAGTCAAGTGTTCAAAATATTGAAATCTATGTGAGCCAAATATTAGAATATATTGAAAAGATAAAGGCAAAAACACTTGCCATCTTATTATGAGAATATAAATAATGTAGAAGGTAATAATGAACTTGAAACCAATTTGTGGGAGAGTAACAGATGTATAGAAGAGGCTCTGGCTATGGAGCCTAATCTTTATGATTTTGATGTTGTCATGTTGAGCTTGATGAGGAGATCCTAATAGTTGTTGCACATGACCCTCCTAGAAAAATTTTGACTTTTATTAATGAGAGTCAAGTAAATTTTATTGGATTATCTAAATTTTTAAAAGCTTCTATTTTTAATTATTGGGATGCACCTTTTGATCTTTCTTTGAAATTAATGAATACTTGTATTTTGAAATTGCTAATTATTGAGAAAGTACAAGTAATCAATACGACTGAGGAACTTTTATGTTTAAAATCTTGTTGGTTGAAAAGAAAAGAATATAAGGTGATTGTGGTATTCGATACTGTCTTTACTTGCTACTTTGGATTTTAGTATTTCACTCTCTCTTAGCTCTCTTGAGCTTCTTGCTTTCTATATACCGCAATCATTTTGAGTACAACCTTCGAGCAATTACAAGCAAGGTGATGTACCCACAAAGCAAAATGATAAATGGTGAAAGTAACCAACAACAAGTGATTGAAAACTTCACCTCCAAACAAATCTCTTCTGGCAAACTTCTATGAGGTCAATGGTAGTATTGGTGACCAGTCAACAGTTTGCCTTTTCACATTGAAAACTTCACCTTCAATCACTTCAAATGAATCCCCTCAGTCAACAGTGGCAAATGCTTTAAACAGAAACTCCAAAATATAAGGTGTTGTTGAAGGTTGAAGGGAGAGTTTATCTATGTGAATTTTTGTGTTGGTTTGAGAAGGTGAGAAGGAGAGACTTCAAAATCTAAGGCAAAGAATAGTGTAGGCTAGTCTCGACATTGTTGTTGGGGGTGATGAGGTCCTTGGAATCGAGGTTGAAGTAGTATTGATAGTCGAGGCATAGTTAGGGGCAAAAGAAGGAGAGTCAGAGTAGGGAGAGACAAAGGAGTTAGAGGGAGAGATCGAGTGAAGAAGAGGCATAGACAAAGGAGTTAGAGAGAGACTAAAAGAATGAGAGAGGCATAATAAATGGATGGCAAGTTGTGGATGCTTTGTTTTCTATAATTGATGATTATTTTTGTATCATCTCATAATATCAACTACCTAGTAGTTCTGGAAAAATAATTCATAGTTAAATTTATACTTTTGCTTTTATAAGTTTCATAATCTTTTTGAAATTATATATATAATAAAAATTGTTGAAACATTCCCGTATCATATCAAATATGATTTTTAAAACTTATTCTCACTCTATTCCTACTCTCATTTTCATTTTCATTCCCTTAAAAGCTATCCTTCGCATCAGATGGGGCCTAAATGTCTTCAATGAAAAACGGTTCTACGTATTTGCATCTAGCAGTGAAATGATGAAGTATCGTCTACTTAGCATATCAAAGCCGTTAGAGTACAAATGATAAATCCAGATCGTCCACTGGCTTATATTAAAGATTCATCTTCCCAAATCCATTACACTCGTGAGAGGCGGAAGAAAGAACCTTGGGTGGAAAAACAAAGGTGAATGAGAAATATGCTTTTGATAGTGATTTTAATGGCTTCAGTGATTCAATTTAACAGTCTCGATTGTCAATGCAATGGATTACAACTGGGCTGAAAAGGGGAAAAAATGAAATAACAAATAACATAAGAAATTTATACATCATTAAACCACCATAAATATTAAATTAAACAGATTATAAAACTTGAGAAATATAAGAAATTTCAGTTTGGCCACCATCTCAAGAAGAACAAGAAATCAAAGCATGAAAATAGAGGAAGAGATTGAACCAAATTTAAATCTATCATCGCAACCATCATACCCACACCAGTGTCGTACCCTTGCTACCGTTGCAACCAGATCGCTGTCGTACGCCACCGCCTCACGCCTCTGCTCGCAGAGAAGAGACCCAAACCATCGAACTGGAAGGGATGAGGGATCTATCGTCGCAGCTGTCACACTTACACTGCCGTTGCACCCATGCCACCGTTGTAACTAGACCGCCATCATATGCTGCCGTCGCATGCAGCATGCCCATGCTCGTAGAGAAGGAACCCAACCCATCGAAGACATGGAGTCACCGGAAGGGGTGAGGGATTTTAGGGGTAGAAGGCATTGGACGGCTGGGATTAGTTGACAACATTCAGCGGCAGAGATTTGAGGGTGTTAAATGACACACTGTGTTATGCAGAGGGGAAGCGCCATTATTAGATGCAAAGATTCAGGTTCCAAAAAATTCTCCAGTTGATCAACTGCTTTAATTTCGAAACAGAAAATGTTATAGGTAAAGCATATTTTGAATAAAGTAATTTTATAATTTGTTTCCCAAAAATAATAAAAATAACTAAATATATTATTTTAAATATCATGATTATAAGGATATTACAACGGCCCAAAACTAAATCAGGCTCACAATTCAACCCACGCACTATTGGCCTCAAAGATTTTTAAGCATCAGTTTTCATGCCATTTGCCATATTTCATCCTAATCAAGAAAAGGCAGGGCCAGATAAACCTTGCGCTTTCATCATACTATTGTACTTTGCAGGCACAAGGGCACCAGCTTTTACGCATAAATCCAAAATAGCTGGTACACGCCCATAGTAACCTTTCCTTTCATCCACAAGTACAGGAGGATCTTGAGGTCTCCGTCTCCATACAATCTTTGGAGGTATGAGATCATCCACCTCTGCTTTTGTCCAAAAGTGAGCTCCTCGCCAGCTCTCATACTTGAACACACCACAAAGCCTAGCTTTATGGCCAGATGGCCCCACATGAACCTCTGAACAATATTTACAGACTTTTGCCGGATAAACAAACAGCAACTTCTGCACCCCAGACCTAAGAGTCTCCCAAGCTGTTAATGTTCTATTTGCTACTAAGGTAAGATCATTTGGTGACAACAACTCGCTTCCTCGGAAACTGCCGCTGGCAATATCACTGTAAGGGTCAGCCCCGGCCTGCCAGCATAGTTCAACAACAGCAGGAATGCGATCAAAGTCAAACCTTTGGTTGTGCTCAATAACACCTTGGAACATATTGTTTAGGTGATACGTTTCAACTGGAACGAGTATATCATTCAAACCACCTGCAACCCATTCATGACACCGGTTCTTGGCACGATGCTTGTAGCCATGGCAAGTCCGAATTAAATGTCCCTTCTCACCAATAAATAACTCTGGACAGAATCTGAAAATGTACAATATGGGAAGATAAGAATAGTATTCTGTGGAGCTTGAGCTTAAGAAATGGGAAGAGACTGAGTCCAAATATACATTCTACTTAATTACCTGACTTGGATTCTATTTAATCAAATTAATGTTTGCCCATATTAAACAACTTGCAAGGATCAAGTGCATGAAAATTACCATAATTTATTACCATTTTAGGTGGAACAGGTCAATTAGCAACTCATAAAAATAGTTATTTATTGACACTAGTTATAATGAAGTTCTGCTAACTCATTAATAACAGGATAGTGGTGGGCCTGGTGACATCAGGGCATTCTTCACTTCAAACCTCAATGGTTCCTTCTCATTTCCTCTTTCCCGCCCCGTTTTCAACATCTAAATGGACATCTAGACCAACAAACGTGCAGATCTTTAAAAAAATTCAGTTCGGACAATGACTATCAGAGAGATAAATGTACTGAATCATGTCATTGCAGAAGTTGTCTAACACAAGTAGGAAACAGGTTATAAGATTGCTGAGAGCCATGTCATATTTCTGGTCATAACACCCCCAATTAAGATATAGAAATAAAAATATCACACCATAGAATCATAGGTAAAACAACGAGGTGCCATCATCAACTAACATAATTGAACTTACTTGCAAGCCATGACAGGAAAGGACTTGAGAAGGGTAGAAACGCCTTGGATGAGAACGTTCCTGGCCTTGAGGACCTCCAGTGCAACCAGAACCATGGCACGAACTGGATATTCATTGGCCCGTTTTTCTATTCTCTGGTGAATCATGGGTCGGAGCTTCTTTAGGTTGACCTTAGTAATATAGAGCCGACGAGGTACACAAGGCACCCATCGAATTCTCTATATAGAACAGTCTGCCAAAGATTCTTTCTCAAAGCCATGAAATCCGCAAACCTTTCCTTGAGAAATTAAGTAAAAAAGAGTCAAACGAAAATCCTTGCTCACATGGACCTTTTTGTTTATTTAACTAAATAAATTGGTTTCTAAAGAAGGGAAACCTAATCAGTTCTTGCTTAATTTGCCCTCTACCAAGTTCTGCCCTTTCTTCTTCTCTCTCAATTCAAATTCTTGTCTCTCAGTTATCCTCTCTCTCTCTCTCTCTCTCTCTCTCTCTCACACACACACACACTCACAATTCGACTCCCTAATTCACATTAAATCCTGCTCCCTCACCGCACCACTCTGTTCCTACAAATCATTCCTTGAACTCAGAAATCCTTCCTTCCCCATAAGCTTGCTTGGATCATCTCTTCCCCAAAATCATGGTAGGAAATACAAATTTGACACTTCATAACTTTTTCTAAGTCCAGTCTATAAATAGTTCAATATTCATTAATACTATGGACATAAAATTTGATATGTCAAATAATGAGAATAAAAAAATGTAAAGTTTGATATATTGGACAAAATTTATATGAATAGTTCAATATACATTAATACTAAAAATTAATACGATTAATTGTTCAGACTATAATGTGCAATCTGGTCTCTTTCTCCAGCCACAGTCCAAGTTCCTTTTCTTTACTCATAATTACTACCAAAATACAATATTCTCAATAATCAAGTTTTCCCACTTGTACAGATCAAGTTTTCTGCCATACAAATCACACAAATTCATTGCCCATTTAAAACCGTAAAGAAGAGACATAACCAACAATAATTCGAAACAAAACACTGAAGAAAAGTTCAAAAAATAACCATCCCTAGAATAGAGACACTAAAGCAAGCTTGATACGGAGTTAAAAGCCATAGAATCATACTACTTTGTGCTTGAGCTCTTGATCGTGGCCTCCTGATATTCATAATGGCAAGTCAGAAGTCAATGTTTACTGGGAAATATATAAGAAAGAGAAGTTTTACCTAACAAAATAAAGAAAATACGATATAAGATTTTGAAAACGCAAATCAAAACCGAAATATTACCCTCTAGGTATCAATCATAAGCAAGGAAAACAGATCTCAGCTTATCACAACTAGGATAAGGAGAATCAGCAAAAATCCAAGATTCATACAAGCCTTCAAAGCTTCCTGATAGTATGGTTTCTATGGCTTTTAACTCCACACAAGATATCTAAAAACCAATCTTTAAACATCAGTACATCTCAACGTAATATGAGAACACCAAAACAGAGACACTCGAGCAAGCTTCGAACAGATAAATAAAGAGGGTAATGAAAATGTTACGTCTATCTGCTTGGACCCAAACCTCAAGTTACTTGTATAAGGTCAGACAAACTCGAACCCAAGTGCTAGCTGCTTTTCTCGAACCCGAATTTCCTTGCTCTGTCTCCTTCCTCAATAATCACATACGGCCAGGTGCACGTTCCTTCTCGGCTCCGAAATGACCTCGAAATACGAATAGGAGCTTGATCCGTGAGAGAATCAAGGTCGCCGGCGTCACAGAAATCCCATCTGTTAATGTGAAGCGATGCGGACGAAGAGAAGCAAACGGAGGAAGTGAGTGTGAAGGCCCGAAATAATTTTGATGGAAATGAAGATAGATGTGAATGCACAAATGGAAATTGAAATGAACATGGATATGAGATTTAAAAATATGGTTGATTTGTTGATGGAATTTTGCTATAATTTTTATCCAAAATATATATTCCTAATATTAAAAAGCCAAAATACCCTTAGTCAGATAAAAAAACCCTAGACAAACACAGCCACCCTTCTCCATATTGCCCACTAAAAGAACCGTCACTGGAGAACAATAAACAAGAATCCAGATTCAACAATCAACAATAAACAAAAACTACCATTAAAACAATAATTCCAGATTCAATAATCAGGAAATCGAAGGCAAAGTTCGAGAGGGAGAGGGAGATCCAAATGCAACGCTTTCGCTCTGCAACAATCAGGAAATCGAAGACGAAGATCGAGAGGGAGAAGGAAATCAAAACTGAACAAATGAAACCCAACAATCGAATTCCCAAATTAGAAAGCAAGGAGCAAGAACCCAAAACCCAGAACTTGCTGCCGCCACCTCCTCCAATATCTCCCCCGGCCTTCCCACGTTCTTCTTCGCCACCATCTGTGAACGCAAATCTTAGTTCAAACCGAGATCGAACAAGATAAATCATATTTCCAGAGCCACGCATAATCGAAGGAACAAGTAAGCTGCTTGAATATAATGAACCCGTTTAAAATGAACCCTCTCGCACTTCGAAGGATACCCAGAATCCCAGAAACCCATAAACCCAGAAATGAAGGTGTCAAGCCACGCATAATCGAAGGAACAAGATAGCTCACAGATATTTCTCCGTCCCAACCCAGAATCAAAGGTGTCGAGCCACACACGAGCTTCAGTCATCGTCTTCACAGGGCGCGATTGCTCTACCTTACATCACCATTCTTCGCGCGAGGTTCTCGATTCATTCCTAACCATCTTCGAGAACGAGATCTTAACAGGCTTGAAGGAGAGAAGTAAAAGGGGAGTCGACCATCGCCGTTGGAGTAGGAAGAATAGCTTGAAGAAGAAGAGGATGATGCTTCGCAAATGGGAACTGTGTTTAGAGGAGGAGGACGAAGAAGCACGATGGCTAGGAGATCTGACCCTTCATTTTAATCCAAATCGCTCCTGCTGTTTCGTTAAATTAATTTTTAAATATTTTTAATATTATAATCTTTAATATAAAAATATAAAAAAATTTAAAATTTTAATAAATATGTTGATTATGAATCTACATATTTAATTTAGTAATCTAATTTAATATTAAATTTTTTTATAATTTTACAATTCAACTGTTGAAATAAATTCTAAACAATTTAAATATAATTTAAATTTAAATAATATATTTAATATTAAAAATTTTATAAATTAATTATTTAAACGTATTTTAAATAATCTAAATTTAATATTAAACTTTTTTATATTTTATATTTTAATAAATATAATTTAAAATATTTAAAATTTAATTTAAATAAATAAAAGATATCAATTTAAGTTAAAATAAGAAATCAGGATTGCTTCTGATCTCATAAGCATTTGGTGCTTAATGCAGACGCGAAAGAAGTAAAGAGGGCAGAGGAGGAAAACGAACAGATATGGGCAAGAGGAGAGAAGGGTGATGCATGGCAAGCGAGCAAGGCCGTTAACTGTCAAATTTTTTAGATTAGCACCAAGGCTAGTCAAGCAATTAAATTAGGGTGAAATTATACCATTTTAAAAAAAAATTAGAATAAAACTATGTTAAAAAATAATTTAAGATATGATGTATGCTTGCTAGAAATATGAGAGTAAATTTATATTTTAATCCTATTTTTTATCCAAACAATTTTTAATTTAAAATACCAAAAATATTTACTAAAAATTAAAGGAAAAATTTACTTCCTCTGTTAAAAATATAATATATTTTTAATTGAATCTCACTTCAATAAAATAGTTATTTATTTTTAAATTAATCATATCTTTCTCTATTTATCTATATTAAACATTCTATAATAAATATAAAATCTTTTATCAATAGAGATACTTTAAAAAAAGGCAATAATTATATCTAAAAAGACTAAAAATACTTTATATTTTTTAATGGAGGGAGTACATGCTTAATTCTATATATTTAATATATTTTTATTTAATAAAATTAAAACAAGTAATTTTAATGTATTAATAATAATTTATTATAAAAATAATTAATATATATTGATTTAATTTTAATTAACAACACGTATTTTAAATATTTAAAATTATAAATTTTTTTCAAAAATAAAATGCAAGTTATCCCAATGGAGCTCATAATCTTAGATTGGAAGTGTGAGAGAGGAATAGCAGTTGGAAAATGGCCGTAGTCGATGTGATGTTACACGTGACGTGTCCTTTCGAGCAACAGGGAAGGGGATCTGGATGATCCCTATTTATGCAGTCAAGCAAGGCGTGGAGTCAAATAGGCAATGCATATGACAGAGGTCAGTGAGTCTGAATCAGGCTTTTTGGAAAATCCAATGGAAATTCTGGGCTCTGGGCAGAGACATAGATAGCCCAGTCCATTTAGATTATCAGAATGAAATGGGGACATGAGAACAAACCTGTTGAAATCATTTCGGAGTAACTACTCCCATTCAAAAAAAAAAAAAACAAAAAAACAAAAAAAAGAAACAGCATCTGTTGTCATTCATCAGAAGTACTAGTCCATACTCCCTCTTATATAAGCCACGTTTATTTAGTTTTATTTATAAATTATGATATAATTTTTTACATAATATTTAAAAAATTTTTTAAAATTATTCGTATGAAAGAGACGCTTTTATATTTTTACTTATTCTATATTGATATTAATGAGGGTGGTATAAAATTTTATAAAAAATATTGAACGAGTATTTAACAGTTACGGTCCTCCAATACAATGCACCCTTTTAAATATATAACAAATTTCTTTTAAAATTTACTCAAGGAAAGAACAAGATGATAAAAATCTTAGTATTATAGTCGTAGTGCATTCACTCTCCTTTTGAATTGGGACACAAGCAATGCATCCTCTACACGCAAAGTTGGGTGAATTATTAAGGGAAAGTTTCATTAAAATCCCTTGATTTGATATAATTTTAATCAATTCTTAAAAAATTTTCAAATTTTACTGCAGGCTCAACGCACTAAAATAAAATAATTTATTTTACTTGAATGACCCAAATGCCTTTCAACTATAATTAACACTGCTGAAAATAAATAAGATTTTTATAAATAATATTATTAAAATAACAAATAAAGTTAAGGTTTTACAAGCAGTATTATTACAATTGTAAGTCAAGTGATGATTTTTACAAGCAATATAACTGAAATAACAAATCAAATTATAATTTTTACAATGAAAGCCACTAAAATAATAAGGCAATTTATAATTTTTACAAATAATATTAATAAAATAACACTGCAAGTTATAACTTCTTACAAATAACATTGTTACAATATAATTTTTACAAATAATATTATTAAAATAATAAATTAAGTTATAATTTTTATAAGTAATATTACGAGACTAATAAGAAGTTATGTTTATTCTATTAATATTATTTGTAAATCTCATAATTTGACTTATTATTTTATTAATATTACTTATAAAAATTGTAAGCTGATTTGTTATCTGAACAATGCTAATTATAATTAAAAGACATTTTAGTTATTCAAGCAATAAAATATATTTTATTTCAATACTCTGAGCTCGTGGTGAAGTTCCAGAATTTTGTTGAGCCCCAGTTGAAATTATCACATTCAAAGACTTAGATGAAATTCTCCCAGTTATTAAATTCTGTATTGGTACAATCAGCTACCTGATCCAACAATGTCCATTTCCCCTCGCCATCGCGTCGTGCAGGGATTTATAATCATTTTGTGTCGGCGCCAGATGTAAAAAACACAGAATAAAATTAAACAACTCTTGTAATCGGTCAATGAATTGGATGTAAATCAATCATCATCAATTAATGTTAATATCATTGTATAATAGAAGGAGTTTGCCCAAGCATTTACTAAGGATTTAAAATTTAATATAATAATTTATATTAATTTATCTTAAAATTTAATTTCTTCGATCATGTAAAGTTCTTTCTCACCGACCTGTCCAGTATTCAAAGTGTGCGTGACAATATGGGGAGGTGGGAGACCATGAGGGCCAACAAGGTTCGTAAGCCCTCCATGACGGGCTAAAAACGACATGCCAACTACAATGTTTTTATCGAATAACTAAGCCACTTATCTGATCTCAACAAACCACAGTACCGTTCTTGAATAATGAACCCACTTCCCTGATTAATTTTTAACCTTTAGTTTTGAAAAGGAAATTTCCATGAAACCGACACTGCACTATTCTCTCAACTAGTTGTATCGTTAGTGAAGTCAATTTCCCCGATCGTTTCGTTCACAAAGCAGTACCAATAACCCAGTCGATGCCAACCAATAATCGAAGCGATTTTTTTTTTTTTAAAAAGCATGTTGTGGATGTGAAATATTTTTAATGCTCTTAGGTACTTCTTTCAAATTATAATATTTGTCATTGATAACTAATTCACCTGTTACCAAACATATTAATTAAAACCTTATTCCTTTAAAAATGTCAACAACTTTATACCTATGCCCTTAAGTTTTCCTAATAATATATATATATGGTCTTTAAATATAAACTATTTAAAAAATAAGGATATAAATAGTAAAAGATGTAGCGTTTATTTAATTTTATATATTCTAAATTATAAAATATTTTTAGAAAGTAATTTATTTTATAATTGGAAGGAGCACGGTGAGAAAAGAAGTCCTGTGTCCAAATTTAAAGAAGTCCGTGTATAGATTCTTGCCCCTGGGCATGAAGGTTCGTATTGGCCAATGCCATAACTCCAAGAGTCGATGCTGCTGATTGCACGATATTTCTTTCATGAACATTACAAGTATGCATGCAAATACAGCCATACACACATAATTTTTTTTTTGTTAGTTTTTACGATGGTTGTATACATTTTTAAAAATAATTAATTTTTTTAAAAAGTAATTTTTTAATTATTTTAAGAAGGTTTTTTGAATGGTTTGTGAAAATAATTTGATACAATAAATAAGAGATAATATTTAGATGTCATCAGGGCGAAGCTAGAAGTTTTTGTTAGGGGGCAAAATGATGAAGTGTATATAATAAAAAAAAATTATATATATATATAAAATAAATATTTTAAACATATATATTTATATTTAATTTTATACATGTATATAATATATATATATATATATATATTAAGTTTCACTCGTCAATTTTTTATGGTATAAAAATCAATTTTTATTATGTTTATGATAGATGTTTTAGTAATTTTTCCTTAATATGAATTATCATTAAATTGATAAAAAATTTTATCATCTTATAAACATTAAATGATTTAAATACATTATTATAATTTAAAATTCTATGCAATATAATAAGCTATATTACTTACTTATTAAATTTATTATTTAATTTTTTTTTAATAATTGTAGTGAACAAATATATCAACACATAATAATGTTCAATTATTATAAAATATTTATGTCAATGAGATTAACTTATATCAACATAAAAATTACTCATATCATACATTTTAATAGCTTAATTATTTTAAAAAAAGTATTTTTTTAGAATATCTTCACCAAACCTCTTAACTTTTAAATAAGTAATTTCATAATTGATATCAAGTACATAGCATTTAATATATCTTAAAATTTTTGTTGCGGTACTTAATAAAGTTTGTTAATAATAATTCTCACAATTTCTTTTATTAAATACAAAATAAAAAAAATAAAATAACATCAATATTTTAAGAGCAAGCATGGGATTATCTCGTTGAAAATGAGTAGATCATATGATAACTATATCTTTAATCTATTAAAATATTTGCTCTATACATATGTAAGAGAATACATATAAAATTAAAATAAGAATTTTATCTATTATTTCATAATTTTAATAATATGCCAACTTAAGGGAGCCCAAAAATATATAACCCTTATATTTTACAAAGAAAAAATTAAAAAGTTAGGAAAGTCGTAACCCCCCACCAATCCTCTCTCTC